TAAATCTTCTAATAAAAAAAAATATATGAAAAGTTTCTGCAAAAAATGACATATAAAAATGAAAAAACATATAAACAATATAAAAATTTATTTGGGAAAAACCCCTCAAAAAATTATTTTCTAAAGTAAACCAATAACGAAGTTATTACATGCTCCAAATAAAAGTACACAAAATGTTATGCAGATTTATCATAGAAAATGGCACTCCGTTGCCATGGCAGCATGGTAAAGAAGGAAATAATGTCAAATTAGTTTCCTCACCCTGGCAAAGATAGCAGTTAATAAGAATGATACTTTTAGCTGATTTTTTTCCAACTGATTGTAGAAAGATAGATCTATGAAATAAGTAGACAGTTTTTGGAAACAATTTTTCAGTCAGGTAGTAGGCCTGTTTAATTTTGGCAAACATTTCAAGCAAAAAAATGAGAAACGTTTTCTTTAATATCTTTAGTTCAAAAAACGTTTTTAAAAAATTGTCTGCTCATTGCATACATCTTTATAAGAGGAATACTTCAAAGGAAAATTTCATTTAAATTGGTCAAGCCGTTCTCAAGATACTTCTGCCGGGAAATGAAAACGCGCGTTCTGAGAAAAATGACAAATAAGTTAAAATTGTGATGAAAAGTATGAAAAAATAACAAATATAAAAAAAAGTATTAAATAAAAAGAGTATATTAATAGTAGTTTTTAATCATGAATATCAGCCCCATACATATTTCTTTCTGTGACTTTTTATGTTTGCGGCTTCTTAAAATCTTCATTTGTTTCTTGATGGTGTCTTGATTTTTATACTCTGACATGCTAGTTCTTCTCTCGTTCAAGTAATTGCATCCATAAATGGTATGCTGTTCTGGTATCATGTTAAGTTATTCAAATATAAGGATATTAGACTTTAATCCAATATTAAAGGCTCCAATAGCATCATAGAGTCCAAATTTTAGTTGCGTAAGCGAAACTTTGACATTGGTATTTTGAAACATATCATAGCATTAAAGCTTTTTGTTTCTGTGTTTTTCCATGAAGTAAAAGATTTAAGTAAGCATCTGATGTTAATTCTACAGAAATAGAGTTTAACTTAAGCACAATTTCAATAGGAAGACCTGGTCCTGGTTTATACTTATTAGATTCTTTATCGCAATTGTATTCACACCAACTGTTTTTACCTGTGGGACAATGTGGATAATGCTAATTATTTTTGCTTGAAGATGCTACATAAAATAAACTTGTTGAGGCTGAAGATCTCATACTTTTAAGGTTGCCACAATTTTGACTAATGCAAATACCAAAATAACTGTCATGTCCAATTAACAGAAACTCCAGTATCCACTATCTCATTAGGAGATTTGCATTCCTTGAGTTCTTATACAGCTTCATTCATAGTTTAATTAGCACCAGTTTGTGCTGCAATTGTCAATTTCTAAACAATGACATTGTAGCTTTTATTGCATAATCCTTTTGGTATATTCATAAGAGTGGTAAACCGATGTGGACCAGCTTGGCCTTGACCAAGTGTTCTCATGGCATACACCAATCGTTTATTAATAACATTTCCTTTTAAAGACTTTTTATTCTGGCTTAACAACTGTGATGATCACAAACATTCTGGACACCCAAGTTTATCAAAAATAGAAGTTAAAAATTTCTATATCAATAACCCTGTAGCCACTGACACATTTTGAGTTTCCACTTGGTACCATTACTTGCTCACTTTTTTTTTTGATGCACTTTTACTTTTTATATTTACAGAGTCTATAATATTTACATCATTACAATTAACATTATTTACACCAATATTAGCATTTTTTCTTGTTTTCTTAAACCATAAAAGGTACATTTACGTTTTCGAAGACGTTTAGTAAAAAATTTATTTCTATCACTATTATATTCTGTCTTAGACTATGAGAACTTGGAGTGCTTAATGTCTTCGAAGTAAATATTCTTGACATACTACTTTTTTATTTAAGTTAAAGTTACTTTTATGTTTAAGTTAAAGATTACTAAGGCAATAACTATTCTATGTTTTTAACGTCCAACAAAACAACACATATTTAAATTTGATTATAAGCAATTACTAACTTACTTTTAAAGCCTTTTACTTTTTTTAAAATTTCAAGTTTTTTTTCCATAAAAGATCCCTTTCCTACAGACTTGAATTCATTCGTTGTCTATAAATTTAAATGCGCAGGCTGTAAATCCTGTTATAGGCGAAACTACACACCATTTAAAGACACGAATAATCGAGCACCAAAAAAGGGATAAAAACTCACACATTTATAAACTTATTCATTCAAATAAAAGCTGTTTTAGTAGTTTTAATCATGCTAGTTTTTCAATTTTGGATTCGGCCAAATTTATATTAAAACTCAAAGAGACATAAAATAAAACTCAAAGTTCATAGTGTTGGAAAAACCCACAAATTAATAAACAAATAAACCATATAAAAATGACAATTTCAATCTAGTTCCTTTAACATTACCTGTTTTTTAATTTTTTTTTAAATATTCGTTACATTTTTTAATTGCATTTTTATTGAATTTTTTATTATAAGGTCTCTATTAGTTCAACTTAATTTTACTAATTTGATTTAATCATTTTATTATATATATATATATATATATATATACATATATATATATATATATATATATATATATATATATATATATATATATATATAATATATATATATATATATATATATATATATATATATATATATATATACACACACATATAGATTTATATTCATCAAGAAATTTTAAATTTCATAGTAAAATATTTTAGTGTTTAAAAATTATGACCATATTAAGTTTAAACCACCCTCAAGTTGAGGGGAGTTGCATATATGAAGAGCTCATTTTCAAAACGGGGCAAATCTAAGTTTTGGGTTTTGAGAAAATCGGATTTTCTAATGTTTGCCATATAATATTGTTATTTGATTTTATTTTGTTTAAATAATTATTTAATTTTTTTTTAAATAACTCAAATAAGTAACTATAAAAGCGTATAAAATGGTATTTTATGCTTCTTGTCATAAACTAGTTCTTGCAATTTAATAAAAGCTATCAATTAAAAAAAAAAAAAAAAAAAAAAAGAGTTTCTGCTGGAAAAAAAAGTTTGTCTAGTTTAATATTTAAACATCAAATAACGCACACTTAAAGAATTCACAGTTAAAAAATATAAATGAAGTAATAAACTGTCTAATTCAACAAAGTTAAAAACATCTTCAGTGGCATTACAGAGTATTGTTTTATGCATGGCAAGTATTCTGTCATCTACAAGACAAAGAAGACAGAAAACATTCTCTTTTTTAGAAAGATTAACACAGTTCTTTAATTCCAAATATTTTAGTCGGAAATTGTCCCATTTCTTTCCTTTTTTAAGGAAACTTTTGATTTGGGCTCAGAATAGTAACTGCATGGAACCACTTCTAGCTTGTTAGAACAATAAGTTTTTTTGTTTTACTGATTTTAAATGTTTTTTTGTTCTTGAATAACTTTTTCACTTCTGATTTGAAGTCAAGTGCTTAGCAGTCTCGCCTATAAACTATGACTTTTCCATGTCGGCTCAGTATGTTTATGCATTCACTAGGCTGAAGAATTTTTTTTTATCGAGCTGAACTCGACCAAACACACAATCTGCAGACAGAAATGATTTTTCACGTTCTGGAAACGTTTGTGCAATATTTTGGTTTTTTATAGACAACTTGAACGATTGACATGTAAAACATGTATCGGTTGTTGGGTATCCAAAAGCCCACATTTTGAGCAATAGTTATACTATTTTTATCCAAAAATAAGTTGGTTCATGCTTTTTAAATCAAAATCAGCAAATATTTACGACCAGGAGCACCTATTCTTCCATAATGACTTGCTCTGCATATAAAAGTCTAAATATGGTTTTTAATAGCTCCTTTCATTTAAAAAAAAACTGCTTTCTTCCTTTCTTCTCCTCTATTTTCAGGTTTGGTTGTTCCATGCTTATACCAATGTCTTGCAATTCTTATAACTCTATCGGCTAGATATTATAAATAAAATAATGACTTTTTTCAACAAATATACATGCGTAACTTAGGCAAATTATTCTGAATTAAAAGTAAAGTAGTTGTAAACTTACACAATACTGAACAAAATGAAGCTTGGCAAACTTGTAGTTTGTATCCTTCAATGCATAAAAATTACACAATGTTCATAGTTCTTAACTTTTATTGTTCATTATTTTTTACTTTATTTTAATACTGACTATATTAAGCATTGATAGTATAGAAGCATCATGTGACACTTTGTTGGTATTACAATAGTATTCTGAATGACATTAGGTGCGTGACATGAAATTTTTATATTGATCAAACACTAGATTGTTATATATCGTTAAAAAAGTCTTGAATTCATTATTTTAAAGGTGAAAAATTTATCAGAATTGAACAATTCTACAAAAAGTTATGACATTTTAGGTACCGAATTTTTGAAATATCTCAGCAAGCACAATCAACGTTGAAAAACCGTTGAAATTTATGGTTGAAAACTGGTCGATTTTTGGTTGAAATGGAAACACAAATCAACGTTCAAAAAAAAAACAAATCAAAGTTGAAAAAAAAACCGTTAGATCAACGTTAAATTAACATTGATTTAAACAACTTATATACGAGTTTGTAAACCTCAAAAATACAACTTTTTGCGCCGTGACTGTTTTAATCCGAAAAAACATATACTTTTTGTACAATATTGTGTTGTTATGAGTAAGAAAAGGAACAATAATTCTTCATAAACTTATAATAGCTGTCATAGTACAATATCTTATGTTATTATACTGCACATCATGTTCTCAATTTTTACAGCTTTTTTAAATTATTATTAGTAGTATTAATAATTTATTTTATATTATAATACTAACTGCTGTTATAGTATTACAAATAATCTGCCCTGTACCATTTTTTAACGCAGGTAACTAAATTATAGAAATTGAAAAGCCATTATTGAAAGCAAATAAAACCAAAAAAGTAATTTATACATTTTTAGAACAAAAACTTTTACAAAATTAAAATTATTTTCAAAACGATCTTGATAAAATCATATCTTTATCTTCAACACCAATGTCAAATTCATATGTATTTTTACCGCCTGCTGTCATCTGACTCATTTTGATTTGATGCACATTTCTCACGATCCAATCAATATGGTGCAAAGTTCAAACAGTTTAAATTCTATCTTTTTGCATTGTGTCTTTTTATTTAAGAACATCAGGTAACTGCATCTAATTAAAAATAACTTTAAGTGTAAAAAAGTGTAAAAAATAACTTTAAGTGTAAAACTTTAACTTTAAGTGTAAAACTTTAACTTTAAGTGTAAAAAAGTGTAAAAAATAACTTTAAGTGTAAACTAAGTGTAAATTTGGTAAATTAAAGGTACATTAGTACATTTTAGAAGTATTATTATACTTTACATTGTTCACAAGCGAATGTGAACATTAAGAGATCAATAGTAGGAAAAAAAACAACTTATAACTGATTCATGCCTAATTTACTTCATTATTGACCGAGATATCAACCTATTTGAATAAAGATACATTATACATTAACGTCATACATCAACGTATATACACGCATAACACAAACCTTTTAAGCAGTTATACATCACTTAAGTCAAACATTCGTTTAGTAGAACCATTTTCTTTGGTCTCCTGGAAGGTTAAGATATCTGTAATTAATTGTATTTATATATACATATATGTATATAACTATACACATATATGCATATATATATATATATATATATATATATATATATATATATATATATATATATATATATATATATATATATCGGTGGGAGCAGCGCAAAGAAATATAATATACATACCAATAACACCTTGTAAATATTTAAAATCCATTTTCTTTTGTTTGTTTTGTTTTAGATTAGGTCAAGTAAAACTTTGTTCTTTAACTTGCCATTAACCTGCCAAATCAAAATAAATTTAATAAAAAAAAAAAAAAAAAAAAACAAACAAAAAAAACAACAGTAAAAATACAATGAAATTACAAATCAATTAAATTAATGGAATACTCAAATCACAAATTAAAAAAAATAATGAAATCTTGGCAAAAAAATGTGATAAACAAAATCTTATTTAAAATCTTAAAAACCAGACATGAATACAACTGAGAGGTTAGAGTTATTAGACAAACTAATCTAGACTAGTCTATACAAATGTGATTGAATACTCAACGGATATATTGAAATGTTTAAAAAAAAAAAAAAGAAAGTTAGGGAAAAAGCTGTTTGTACACAGCTTTTTCCCTATCTTTCTTTCTTCTTTTTAATAATTTTTTTTTGCTGTTTTGTCTCTGTTAAGAAATCTTAGCTCTAAATTAAGCATGCTGTTAGCAACTTTTAATAACTTTTTCTTTTTTTATAAGTGCTAACTTTTTTATAGATACTATAAATAAGAAAATAATAAACAATTAATAGAATTAATGTAAATAAATAATTATAATATTAATAAATAAAATAATAAGAAGAAATAAGGAACTTGTTTAACAAATTGTCATCTATGCAACTTGATGATTTAGATTATATTATGTGTAAAAAAAACTATTAGCAGAAAGTTGTCATGAATGGTACAATATTGACAAATCCAAGACAATTATCTATGATAGCAGAGTAATAAAAGTTAATTAAAAAAGTCAGAATTTACATTCATTGTTACTTTCATAATATTTATATAATGACATGCATTATATAACCAGAATGTTTATGCATTATATAACCAGAATGTTTTTGCATTATATAACCAATATGTCTACTAAATTTAAACTCCATCTGGCTCCTCTCTCTGGATGAGCATTATATGCACATGACAAAACAAAGTAGATATATTTAAAAATGACTTTATGGTATATTTTAGCTCCTATAATATTAAAGCCTATATTAACTAGCCTATTTTTTGCTTTTTTTTAACTAAAGCTTTAAATTTTTGTTCTGTTTTACTGTGCTAGCCATCTTTATTTTATTTTAATAATGCAACAAAATATTAAAAAAAACAACAACGTTAAAATGAAAATACCAACCTACTTTGGAGTTATGTTAACGCCTGCAATCAAGTTTATAAGTTTTTACTTATGATGCTTTAATAATGCTCTTATAAATATATGTAATAATCATTAATAATAGGTTATAATACCTGTAGTTTCATCACATTTTAGTTTAAACTTATACTAACCAACTGTTGTGCGTTATTGCAATTTTTTACTTAAAACTTCACATTTCAATTTGGACAATGGACAAAACCATTCTTTATTCAACTTGATGGAATTTATTTATACAAACAACATTGTCTTTTGACTATACAAACCAAAATATACTGGTCTACACTACAGTTTCATAATTATAATAATACTTTGATTGTATATTTTATATATATATATATATATATATATATATATATATATATATATATATATATATATATATATATATATATATATGTAAAATATACAATCAAAGTCTTATTATAATTATAAAGACTTTAATTTATCATATAAAAATGTAATCCAAATTCATATAAAAACTTATATGAATTTTATATGAATTTGGATTACATCCAAATTCATATAAAAATTTATATGTATAAGATATGTTACAAAAAAATTTAAAACATTTAAAAACTTAAATAAAATATAATATATTAAAGAGTGAAAAAATTGCATAATAATTCTTTTGAAATTTTTAAAAATTAATATAAATTTAAAAAGTTATTAGTGTTTTAGTGTATTAAAATTCGCCTATTTTTGGTTCCGATTTTACATTAAATTGTGTAATCAAAATTTTTTTTTATAACAAAAAATAACCATTACTTATTTATATCTTCACATGGCTCTACAGCAGTTTCTCTCCCCCCCCCCCCCCCCTATTTTTTATTGTTGATTATGATAGAGAATTTTATGCTGATTAAGAATCGTATAAAAACATAGGTCTGAAAATTAACAGAAAGTGCTCTAATTCGATCTTGAAGTTTAAAAAATTACACTAAAAAACGCTAATATTCGCCATTTTTTTTATATTAAAATTCTTTTCAAAGATGATTTTAAAAAAGCCTGGTTTTTAAAACAATTTAATGCAAAACTGTTAAAAAATGCTCAGCGCATCATTTTTTGACTTATCCCTTGCCTAAACCCAAGCCCTGTCCCAAATCATATACGTTTAATCGCGCCAATCCCTATTTGTCAGTCGATGTATGTGCATTTAGTTGTGCCAATCCCTATTTGTCAGTCGATGTATGTACATTCAATTGCCCAATCCCTATTTTTCAGTCGATGAGTGTACATTTAATTGCGCCAATCCTGCGCCTGCGCTAATCCTTACGCCTATTTTTCAGTCGATTTATGTACATTTAAAAAGAAATATTTGAATTTATTTTAAAAAAAATAAATTAAGTTACAGTCATTACGGGTAACTTTGAACGGTTTGCGCTAGGTTTATCTCTACAAATATTGTTTTACTAACTAGATAGCAAATATTTTTACATAAAGGGTGTTCTGATGATCTCTTTTTTCTAGTTTGTTATCATTTTTTTAAATTTGCTAGATATTATGTAAAAAAACAATGTTCAAGTAGGCGTTCAAAGTTACCCTCGCATTTCGGGTAACTTTGATCACTATTAAACTGAATGTCAATTTTAATCTTTTAAATCTAAAAAGTTGTACCTGTATCTCAAAATGATGCAGTTTTTTCATTGGAGCATATAAACAATCACTTAGTACATGTTTTCCTTGATCATGATTATTTGAATTTCTTGATTATTAAATTTCTTTGTATTACTTTAAATTAATTTTTTTTAAAATCTAGTTAAACTATTTCGAGAATAAACAAACAAGTTTTTCAATTAAATATTTCGAGAATAAACAAACAAGTTTTTCAATAAAATATTTCGAGAATAAACAAACAAGTTTTTCAATAAAATATTAACAAAATAATTTTTAAGGTTATAAAAGAAAAAATAATTAAATTTCTTTGTATTACTTTAAATTAATTTTTTTAAAAATCTAGTTAAACTATTTCGAGAATAAACAAACAAGTTTTTCAATAAAATATTTCGAGAATAAACAAACAAGTTTTTCAATAAAATATTTCGAGAATAAACAAACAAGTTTTTCAATAAAATATTTCGAGAATAAACAAACAAGTTTTTCAATAAAATATTAACAAAATAATTTTTAAGGTTATAAAAGAAAAAATAATTAAAACATTATTTTTATATAATTCTCCACAAATAAACACCATTGACTATAAAACTAAATATTACAGTGTTTCATTCTTTTAGTCTTGAGTTACAACTAATTCTTTTACAAAATAATCATGATCAAGGAAAACATGTACTAAGTGATTGTTTATATGCTCCAATGAAAAAACTGCATCATTTTGAGATACAGGTAAAACTTGTTCATTGTCTTCAATAACTTGATTAACATTTAGGATGCTTGAATTTTGTAAAATATTAAGTTTTTTGTTTATTTTCATAATTATATTATTTGATCCAAGTGGTCTTCCTCTTTTCTTTGCTCGAATATTATCTTGACTTTTTTTTTATTGTCTCTTTCCTTATAGTATGCTTCTACCTCAGTGGCTTTTCCCTGCTGCTATTGGTAACTTAAATTTTTTGCTTACTTCATAATTAAGATGAATACCATCAACATAATTCCTAAACGATTCTCCAAAATTGAGTTGAATATTTGTAAAACTGGGTAATTTGGAGAGAACATGTTCTGGTACAAATGGATATATGCCAGTATCCTTAAATCCTGCTTGGAGATTATGTTCTAGATTTTCTTTACCAACATTAAGAGTAGATTTAATGAGCTGCGTAAACAAATTTTTTGGCAGGTTATTAACCTTTTTTCCTCTGGATGTTTTACGCCATTGATAAGGAACTGACCTCCAATCAGCTTTTAAACTCGAGAAATATCCAACATCTAAAGGTTGTAAAAGGTGTGTGGAATTGGGTAAATGTTATATTATGCTTTTCACATATATTTAAGGCTTTTAAAGATATATGAGCACTTAAATTATCGCAAATCAGAATTTTTTTACCTCCCTTATTTATAATATTTGGAACAAAGTGATTTAACAGCCACTCTTCAAATATTTGAATTTCCATCCAGCCACTGCAAGAAGTTGCCATTCTTGATCCTTCTGGTGCGTTGAAAAGCCAGTCAGACCAACTGTGTTTTCCTTTAAAAATGAAAAATGGTGGAATTAGTTTTCCTGAGGCATTTCCACAAAAAACAACAGTGTAACAAGTTTTTGTTGTGTTTCTTATAAGTTCTGGATGGCGAGAGGATTGACGAAAAATAAGTTTTTTTTTCCAGGGTCATCATGAAACCCTGTTTCATCCATATTGTAAATGTTATCTGGCGTTACTCCATTTAATTCCTTCTAGATTTTGAAAAAATAATTTTATTTGACAATAATTAATCTGTGCACGTTTTCTTGAAATACAATGAGATACTTTTTCTTTTAATGATGGATGCCTGTCAAGATAAAGTTTACACCACTCCCAACCTGGTCGGTTATCTTTAAACTGTTGTATATTTTTTCCACTATCATCCAGATAGATTTTGACAAGACTTTTAAAATCATTAATTCCAATTGTTATACCTTTATCACTTAAATAAAGTAAGTGATTTTCAAAACAAAGTTCCTCATCAATACTAAGGGCAATAGGGCGCCCTACTGATTTACAGTGTTTACTTTTTAGCTTATAAAATAATGTTGCTTTAGGTACTTTATAAATTTTAGAAGCTTCACCAATCGACATTTTTTCTAATTTAATTTTGACTAAAGCCTCTTGAAGTGTAGAATTGGTGTAATTAGATTTAGTGCCATATTTTTTTGTGCCAGGATGAGTTGTCGAACATTTTCTTGGCATTTTATGAATGCTAAAAATATAAAGATGATTTATGTTATTAATGAAAATTATCTAATTAATTGCATATTTGCTATTAATAAAATATATTATTAAATCTATCAAGATAAATATCAAAAATTAATATAATATAATAGTAATAGATATTATAATTTTTGATATTTATAATATCATATATCATTATATAATAAAAATACTATAATAAAAGGATGCCTATTATTTATTATGTATTATTGCAATGTTACTCAGACAGCAAAAAAAGCATTTTTGGAAAATATTGATTGTCTAAAGTTACCCTGAATTTGGTTATATTTTAGCTAAGTGGAAATAAATATCCTTTTTGTAGCAAAAAACATGTTAAATCCTATTATTTTGAGTTTGTATTAAAGTTCAAAAAATAATTTAATAAAATACTTAAAAATCTATTCAGATAATTACAATATAATACCAAAAAATCTAAATTGAAAACACGCGATGTTATCACCACATTCGACTGTGTAACTGGAAATGGAGGAAAACATTATTTTTGAGAAATAAAATTTAATTTTCTTTGGTCAAACTTTTGTAAAAAAAGATAATTCATCATATTATTCTTTGTTAAAGCAACAGGCAAAGAAAATACCAAAGAAAAAAAATTTAAAAACATTTACACGTTTAGTGTAACAATGTTACCCGCAAATTCAAAGTTATATAAATTACATTCATAAAAACATTTAATTCAATTATAAATTAACTTCGATGACAATAAAAACCGGGTCGCGTAATTAAAAAAAGATTTTCTTAACGATCAATTTTAAAATATAAACTTTGATGTAAAACGTATTTAAAAATTGGCGCAAATTAGAGCACTTTCTGTTGATTTTCAGACCTATGTTTTTATACGATTCTTAATCAGCATAAAATTCTCTATCATAATCAACAACAAAAAATAGGGGGGGGGGGGGAGGGAGAAACTGCAGTAGCGCCTCTTCACAAAACTCAATTTTTTTTTTGATTTTGAAAAAATAAATCATTACTGCTTTACCTTATAAAACTAAAATTGCAAATATATTAATACCATCACTGTAATACTTGATAATAATATTAACGTGACGTTTTTTATAATATCGCGCGCTTTTAAAAACTTAAGTTTATCATTAAAATTACCTTTAAAAAATAATTTTCTTACAAATTATATGCAACCGGTAGAAATTTTTATTGTGTAAACTTAGTATTAAAGGAAAAATAAGGATATTTATTTATCAAATTTTATTATATTATGACCAATATTTCAAACTCGCAATTAAGTTTTACGCGGATAATTTTTATTTAGCAGCGACGTTCTTTACGTTAAAAATTTTGATATTGCATACTGCATAACTATTGTAATATTTTCATAAAACCCTCATCTTTTAACAAGATATCTAACGTTACTTAAACGTTAAATAAAATCTTTCATAGACTTG